TCTCTCCGCCTTCTCCCCTCCCCCGTCCCATCCAGCGGGCCTTAATCCCGAGGGCTAATGACAGGGACACAGACAGAGGGAGAGAGACGACTAGGGTTAGCATGCGGCAGAGGAGGGGAGTTTAACTTGGTGCTGGTTGCCGTGTTATGCAGGAGGACGAGGACTCGCTGCAGATTTGGGCTGGAGGACTGAAAGAGCTGACCACTATGAAGGCAGACGTGTTCCAGTACGTGCTGCCCGCAGACACCGCGCTGCTCCAGGGACAGGTGGAAGAACTTCACAGCCAATGGGAAGAACTGTGCTTGAAGGTGAGTGAGTGTTTGTGTTTGTGAGAGGAGAGAGAGAGAGTGAGAGTAGGAGGGAAAGAGAGGCTGTTGTCCAGGCAGCATTGAAAGGCACACAATGATTCACCGCTGGAAGGTGGGGGGGGGAACTTCACAGTGCCGCATGGCACAGAAAAAGAGAGGGAAAATGAGAATGTATGTGAATTGATCTAGATTTATAGTCATAATAATAGTTTTCTCATCAGAAAGATGTCCTGACATGTATGTTTCTGACATGAAAAATAGCACAAGAAACAAATTTTCACTTGCCTTAAAGGGACAGTTCAGACCAAAATGAACATTTTCATTTACTTACCTACTTGCTGGTCCAAACTGTATGATGTTTTTTTTTCTTCTTTGGAACACATGAGAAGAAATGTTGAATCCTACAAGTCACTCTTTTCCATGCATTACAAAGAATGGGGAACGAATGCCCATTCAAGATTCAAAAAGGATGCAAAAATCCCCATAAAGGTATTATGAAAGTTGTTCATACGTCTCATGCACTGTATTAGTTTCAGAAGACTTGGAATTATCTTCATATATTGGGATGTTACCACTATGACAGGATCATTAAGCCATTAACAGCTGAACTCAAAAACTTGATCAGTCCAATTCATGAACAAATCATTCAGACCAAATTAGAATCAAACCAGTTTTATAAACCATTTCACTGAAAAGATTTTGGTCTATTTTTTATTGTATAATGCCTTAAATTAATACTTTTTACTCACACCAAGCTGTCATATGAATTCAGTAGACTTTAAATATAGCACAAGAGACACATGGACCCCTGTTTGGAGCTTGACAGCTCTCGTCCTCATTTACTTTCATAATATTTTTAATATTATTGGCCAGGATAGTTCTCAAAAAATGACTTTTTGTGTTCTGCGGGAGAATGAAAGTCTTTTGGGTTTGGTAAATGATGAATTATCATTTCTGGGCAAACAATACCCTTAACATTACAACTTTGCTATAATTACATTAATTTTGCTCTTTATTAAATAAAATAATGTCTATTTTAACACACGTCAATATGCATTACTTATGTAGCTCATTTTTTAAGTTGCTTGCCAGGCATTGTAAAGGCTGACTGAGGACTTTTTTCTGAGATTATCTGTCTAGCGCAGGTGTCCAGCCTGCCATCATTAAGTAAAGTAGCTGAATGGCCTGCTGACATTTGAATGGAGTTGCTCTTGTAACTGTAAACGGCCTGAGCAATTAAAAACAGAACTGGCCACATTTAGGACAGATTGTTGCATGGCCTACATCCAGCCCTTAGACTTATCACCACATAACGCAGGGCGCCTTATTTAATCAACCATTTTTCAGTTTGTGAAGTTGCTGTTGTGAGTTTTCAGTCGTGTCTTTATTTGAAACTGGCCAGACGCCAGGACCGAGCCAATGAGGTCAGTTTACGTTGTGCGTCAGTGTCTGTGGCCAACAGGTTGCAGGTGGAAACATTCCCTGGAATGAATGACAGATGGCAAAGCTAGGCCTTGTTTTCTAGAAGGAGGTCTTTTATTTGTCTTTGCATATGTTTTTGGGCAAGTGGCTTGGGCTCAAGGAAATGCATAAATAATGCATTCAACAACAAGGCCATGAATAGAAGTGATTAACTAACCTCAATGTCCTTGTGCTTTCTTTTAACCTCATGATTAATATCTTGTTTAGAAGGAAAACTACAATATCACATTCTCTTACAGCTCTAAGCGTGACATTAATAGATCAAGGAACGTGTATAGCCTTCACTGACAAATGTAGCATGCAAAATGCCTTCGTTCTTTTTAAAAGGCTGCATGTAAGCCCCAGCAATCTAGAAACGACACTACAAAGCGCTCCCCTAGTGTGTCTTGGTGTTAGTACATCCTAGTAGACAAGCCCCTTACTGACAGAAAGCAGTAAAAGCGAGTGGGCCTTTGCTGTACTCTTTTGCTTAACAGTCTAGTAATCAATCTCAGAGCGTGAGATGAAAGTTTTTTTTTAAGCCTTTCAGATGCCCAGCTTTTAAAGAATAAAGTCATATAGTTGTAACCTGACACCTTTGTACTGAGTTGTTTTCAAGTCTTTTCTCACATGTGAATTAGGAACTGGCCTGTCACTTCAAGAGCACATTACAAAATTCAGTGAGGACAAAGTGCAAGTTCTTATGTACTCTCTCTAGAACTTGAGAGTAGGCCATGTGCTCTCAAAGATATTTCCTGACTGAAAAAAATGTCATTATAATGAAAAATAAAATGAAAAAATGAAGTAAGTGTTGATACGTGGAAACTTTTCTGTACTAACTAAGAATGTTTTTTAAAGACTGTATTTTGCCATGCTGAAGCATTTTAACCCTTTATTCTTCCTCTTGTGTGTAGGTGTCCCTTCGCAAACAGGAAATAGCTGATCGCCTGAATGCCTGGATCATCTTCAATGATAAAAACAAGGAGCTCTGTGACTGGCTGACGCAGATGGAGAAAAAAGTGGCACATAGGGGCGAAAACCTTAGTATTGAGGAAATGGTGGAGAAACTTAAAAAGGTAAAATTTGGTTTCCTTTTCATTGCTATGATTTTTCTAATCCCTTAAAAAGGGATAATTCATCCAAAATTGAAAATTCCCACCCAGCGTTTTGTTCTATAACTATATGACCTGCACTACCGCTTGTCAAAAGTTTGTGGTCAATAAGATTTTTTTAAAGACGTTTCTTGTGCTCACCCAGGCTGTATTTATTTGATCAAAAATACAGTAAAACAGTAATAACGTGAAATGTTATTACAATTTAAAATAACTGCTTTCTATTTTAATATATTTAAAAAAAAAAAAGTAATTTATTCCTGTGGTGACAGGGCTGAATTTTCAGGAGCTGTTACTCCAGTGTCACATGATCCTTCAGAAATCATTTATATTTATATCATAGCATGTCAGATGTCAAATCATAATATTTTTGTAAACTGTTATATTTTTTTTTTAGAATTGTTTGATTGATGCAGCATTTATTTCAAAATTATAATTTTAAATGAATTATAACTTATATAAATACTTTACTGTCACATTTAATGCACCCTTGCTTAATAAAAGTATACATTTATTAATAAATTAATTTAGTAATTAATTAAATTGCTCAACTCCGTTTTTGTGGTTACATAACCATAACAACACGCCACTTTAAGATCATTTTAGACAAAGGTATCACATGAGTCTGTTTCTATGTGCCTTTGTCATGGCGAGTTTGTGTTGTACATTTGTAAGGAGCTTAAGTAGGTCGGTAATATGGTATTATATGGTATATGCTATTATGAGTATCTACGAAGGATTAAAGCAGTCTCAAATGAACAGCACGCTTAAGCATTCCCAAGGGAGGCCCCACAGATTTTACATTTCACAGAGGCTCTATTCTATCCACTCACATAGCATTCGTTCATTTTTACTCAAATATGCTACAAATGTACATTATTTCTAAAAAATATGAAAGATTAGCTTTAGTCTAGTTTACTCTATGTACTATAAAATTGAGGGCAGAATGCTGTACCACATAACTGTTCATTTGTTTACCTCTTTGTTCATACACAACAATAGCCTCGTATGTGCAGTTTCTCTCTCACCATCAAACAGTGCAACCTCAAGCACTCTGCAGTCATTAGCACATAGTTTACCTTGGAAGTTTTGGAGGGTTTCAGCCAGGCCACGTCACTAATGATCACACATCAGAATGCTGGCCATTGTCTCTTTCTAGCACCGTTACTGATGGCCATTGCTATTTTACTATCATTTTGCTATTAATATTTTGAATTTATTTTTATTTTTATAATTTCTGTTTTCATTTGAGCTAATATTTTAGTTTGAGTTATTTTACTGCATCAAGTTAAACTAAATGAAAACGAGAATTATTATTTGTTATTAATTATTTTATTAATTTTCTTTATTTACTTTCAGTTAACTTTTATTTCATGTTTTTTTTAATGGCTGTAGATTTAGTTAACTGTAATAACTCTGCTGACAAAAATCCTGCTGTTGAAACTGAGCTAGGTTGGACTAAGCAAAACAGGTGAACCCTTAATAGCAGAGGAGAAAGTGAAAAGGATTTGGGCTGCTGAGGGGTCAGTGTGAATAATTGTTCCTCTCCTTTAAAGAGGGACCATGCTGAGAGAAGGAACATAGTTTTGACAGCTGTCATACCCATCTAGAGACAAAGTGCAGTTAGTCGGTTTTGTTTGGGATGGATGTGTTAATGACTAAAGCACATGAGAGGCAGGCCAGTGCTCATTGTGCACATCTCTCTTTAGGACTGTATGGAGGAGATTAATCTCTTCAGCGAGAACAAGAGCCACCTCAAGCAGCTGGGCGAGCAGCTCCTATTGGCCAGCGACAAGGCTAAGGAGGCGGAGATTCACCGGGCCTTGCGCGATGTCAACGACCGCTGGCAGCACCTGTTCGACCATATTGAGGCCAGGTGAGCAAAATAAAAACAAATGAACCACATTGAACTGTAGTGAATAAATGCTTTGAGGAAGAAATGCTAATTTGATCAAACTAATTTCTTTCCTGTTTGCCTGATGTTTGCTATTGTTGCTCTGTATCCACTGATTAATGGCTGATTAAAAGCTCTTTGTTTGTTTAAAAGCCTTAGTCTGCATCATTTCTGGTTTTCAATTCAAGGACTGATTGATTCATTCATTCATTTGTGCATTTATTCCTCATTTAGACTGTTGGTGGTGATTAAGCCTTTGATTAGACTTTAATATTGATTTTTGAGGATTCTTTTATTCAGACTGAAAAACAAAAAGTGCTTAAGCCTTTAATGTGAGACTGATGGTTAGCAAGTAGTTCAAAAAGCTGATGCTGGGAAAATAACTTTGCTGTGAAAATACAAACATGTAGAGGAAAGTGGTGTAAGAAGTGCCTTTTTCCAGCAAATTGTGCCAAACTGTGTAGTTAGAAAGAAATGCATATATGAAAAGCCTTTTTTATGCTAAAAGTTTGTGTGTGTGTGTGTGTGTGTCAGTTGTCAGTTTAGTTCTGTATGACAGGTGAAATATTTTTTTTTGTACCAGGGTTTGTGGGTAAACTGTGTCACACAGCTCAACAAATAGTAATTAAATTCAGGAATTACTAGCATATAACATTATTATATTAATTTGATATTATGCTGTCATAATATTGTTATAAGTATGCTTATTTATTACTGAATTATTATTATTATTATTATTATTATTATTATAAATACTGTTCAGTGTTATTAACCAAAAGCTGAAATAAAATGTAAATATAAAAATTAAGTTAAAAACTGATAATTTTAAACTAATTTTAAACAAATTAAAAACGTTGCCTTGGCAACTAACTGAAATAAAATGAAATAATGTTTAAGAAGTACTAGAATTACTAAAAAAAGTAAATTAAAGCTATGTAGAAAAAAAAGAAAAAAAAAAAGTATAAAATGACCAAAGCAAATAACAAAAATAATAACAAATAACTAAAATTAAAATGAAAACTACAAATGTAAAAATAAAAGCGAATTCAAAATATAAATGAATCTTATAATTGTATATAAATAATACTAAAATAAAATTTCTTGATGTACTGTTTAAGTGTTTAAAACTGTTTCACTATATTGAAACATTATGAATTTTAAACCTTTTCCTGGCTGCTTTATAAAGACTTTAGAGTGGAGATTAAAAAAAAAGAAAAAAGAAATCATTCATGTGTTCCCCAGTGACTCAGCCTGTCCCATGATGCAATTCAGTTTACCCCTAATGTGGAGCAAGTTGCCTTATTAGACTTTGTTTTTTGGAAAGGTCATTTTTCTATTTTTCTTCAGTGTTATAGATGACTTCCACAAAGTTCAGTTAATAGAATACATCATATAATTTTATATTATAAATCATATAATTTTTCCTTGCCAATTTACAGCAAATTTTCCCCACTAATACAACTAATTTGCTTATTTTATTTATATTTACTTATTCAAAGGTGAGTCTCGAGTCTGCATGTACTCATTTATTTCTTGATGTGGTATCATGTGGTCTTCAGTACTTTGGATGGTTACCACATCTGGCATATGCTTTCATAATCATTCAGTCTGATGGAAATTTGCACATACGGAGTGTATGAATCAGGTGGTGGTCCTAAGCAAGCGATAACAAACAATTCAAGTGCTTTCCAATCTTTTCTGTGACGTCACCAGCCTCTCATGTTATTGGTCAGTCCTGCAGTATGCCATGTTCTGAAGCAGCCAGATGGTGCTAGTACTGAAGGAGAGGGGAATTAGCGTAGCCCTCACTAGTGTCGTTAGCTTCAGCTTTGCCATATGGCTTGTTTAGGCTTCTGTAGTTTGTCCTAGTCCCTCTGTATAGCTCGGAGGGGGTGGTGGGGGGCAATGGTCTGTCACCTCATATTATATTTTATGAACAGGGGCACAATGGGGCCAGGGGGACAGTGTGTACTCAGGCACGCTATAATCACACAGCCGGCCATCTGCAGGTATGGCTGCTCAGACGGTTTGTGAGGCCTTGCGGTCACTCAAACAACGTAACAAGAAACTTCACAATGTCACACTTAAATGGTTCAATCTAATCCCTATAGGACAAACACACTTTGTCTGTGTTTCAGTTTCATCTGACCTGGGGTTATCAGACCTTTTTTTTTTAGTTGTGTTTCACGGCAAGCGTAGCACGCTGATCTTTGATTTCATTGGGTTCCTGTCAAACTACACAGTCTCAGATACCAAAGAAAACATTTACTTGATTTGATTAATAAAGGGGTTAGTCTTTCATTAAAAAAATGACACACAATATTATTTTTTCAATAAATAAAATACATTTGTATCTAGTGGAGATTATAGAGGACTTTTGGTCACATTCAGGTTTTAATCAAAACGTCCATGATCATTTATGGTATCACAAGTTTTTTTCCAAAATGGTCTTTTTGATAATGCTCTGGATTCAAAATTAATATGCAATCTCTCTCTCTTTCAGGGTGAAAAAGCTGACAGAAACCCTGGTGACAGTGCAGCAGTTGGATAAGAACATGAATAACCTTCGCTCTTGGCTCACTCGCATTGAAGCTGAGCTGGCCAAACCCATTCACTACAGTATCTGCCATAGAGATGAGATCCATAAGAGACTGGCTGAGCAACAGGTCAGCAAATCAAGAGTTTATAAAAAGGATATAATAGAATATTCAATCAGCTGAAATACCAGATTGTAGATTAGTATAGGTGTATTTTGTCTTGTGGGACTGGCAGATTTTTGTTTATTTTTTTATAAATGCATAAACGGGTGAAAAATCTTGCCGATGCAACAACTTATTCCAGATAGATTGTCTGAAAAGAAGCCTTAATATGCTTTTTTTCTAATCAGGTGAATTTGTCTAGTTTGAGGGATGTTTTGATATTTTTGCTATGATTTTTGAAATCAAAATTTTTATTAATTTATTAATAATATTTGATTAATTTAATTGTCTTTCATTGAAATTAATTATTTCCGATTACTTTTTCATGATATACAGACTGTTTAAAGGGCTAATTAATTGCTGGCAAAATAAGCTTTCAATAAAACATGACTGTCTATGCAGTGTAAACGTGAAAAAATTTCTAAAATCAGAAAAAGGGCTACAGCATTCCCTTTTGCCAAAAACTTCAACACTCATAATGCACTTCTGTTTTGGGTACCACCTCTCTTTCAGTCTGACTGTCCATTGGCAGAATTACAAACAATTTGGAAGTTTGATGTGTAGTTTTAACACGTTTTTTTCCATATACTACCGACATTATAACGATACAAAGCTGGTTGAAATTAGGCTAACTTATCTTTCATCTGTTTGATAAAGTGACAGGAATGACTTTAACATATGTATGCGTGTGTTTAGGACCTGCAGCGTGACATCGAGCAGCACACTGAAAGGGTGACGTCTGTGCTCACCCTGTGTGATGTGCTTCTGCACGATGAGGATGCCTGCAGCAGTGATGGAGAGAATGACTCCATCCAGCAGACAACGCAGCGCTTGGACCAGCGCTGGAGAAATATCTGCTCAACGTCTCTGGAGAGGAGGCTGAGGTATGACCAGATGAGTCCAATCTCAAACACTCCATCAATGCTCACAGATGTTTAGTCATTCTGTTGCATCCCTTTATGGGAAGGAAGTTTCAGTTCACTCTGGATCCAGATTAAGAAACTGTTTTCCAATTCACAGCTCCCTGCTGAGCAAGGGATATCCGTAAAAATTCACTTTGCATGATAAAATGTCTTCATTTTTAATGCCCTGTAACGTCACCAAACACTTGAGTCGAACAGACTATGGGTTTTGAGAAAATGACGTCATATATTTGGTAAATAAGCATAACATTAATTACAATAAATATTATAAATGAAAATATTTAAAAGTAAGTGCCCACACATGCACATTGAGTATTAAATGATATTGTTATGATTTATGTAAATATAAATTTATATAAAAGACACTTTGTTTTTAATCACTCGTGTCTGTTTGCAGGATTGAGGAGACGTGGCGACTGTGGTGTAAATTTCAGGAGGATTACTCTTCCTTCGAGGACTGGCTGAACGTGGCTGAGCGCTCTGCTGCTGAACCCAATTCATCAGACATCGTGTACACTGACGCCAAAGAGGAACTTCAGAAATATGAGGTTTGATTCCAAAAAAATTTTAAACTATGAGTCTTCGAATGGCTGTGCTACTGGACAGCATTATGTTTACTTCATTTAGTGCAAGTGAAATGTTTCATCCTAATGTTTTAGGAACACGATTAGTACGATTAGGGGAATATCAGATTCCTCAAGCAATCATCTATGGCCTGTCAGCAGTTTTTCATTTACTGAATGTTTTAGTCATTCAAGCATGACTTCTGAAATGTTTCTAATGTTAAAAACACACTCTCTCTATGCATGGAAATTGAGTGTTAAAGTAGATATTTTTGAATATCCAGCTTTAATTTAATAGAGTAAACAGTAATAGCAGTTCTGAAATTAGTTTTTGTGGTCATAGTTAGTAGTGTTTGATTTTTTCTTTTAGGTTTTCCAAAGGCAAGTGCATGAGAGTCTGACCCAGCTGGAAATTATTAATAACCAGTACAGACGACTAGCGCGGGAGAACCGGGCCGATGCAGCCAGCAGACTCCGGGCCATGGTGCATCAGGGGAACCAGCGCTGGGACGCGCTCCAGAGGAGAGTGGCTGCAATACTGCGCAGACTCCGGGTGAGGACACCGACACACTACTTTTTTTTATGTCATCTATGCATTTATGTTTACTTGAGTACACATTTCCCAACACATTTTCTTTTTCCTCCCTTTTTTTTCTCATTTAGCATTTCACAAGTCAGAGAGAAGAGTTTGAGGGAACCCGCGAGAGCCTCCTCGTCTGGCTGACTGAGATAGACCTCCAGCTGACCAATGTGGAGAACTTCTCAGAGAGCCATCTCCAAGACAAGATGAAACAGCTGAAGGTTAATAAACAAGCGTTTCCTTCAAATTCAGTCGTTCAGTCAGTCTATAGACAGATAGAGTTAAATTTAACTGAACTTTCTTACTCTTCCCCTCCAGAGTTTTAAGAAAGAGATCACTCTGAACACCAATAAGATTGATGCTCTGATCATTTTTGGGGAGGGTCTGATTCAGAGGAGCAGTCCTCAAGATGCTGTTGTAATAGAAGATGAGTTAGAGGAACTGCACACGTACTGTCAAGAGGTGTTCGGCAGGGTGGCCCGATTCCACCAGCGCCTCACCAGTCTCCGCCCGGTATTATATACGCTCACTTTTCATTGCATTCTCTCATATACCGTACTGTGGCCCTTAATGTATTTGGACATTTTGAGAGCCTTTGGAACCTATCTAATGTCTTTTTGTGAATTAGCTTCCTTGAAAAGTGTGCTTGTGCTACATTACCATTCAAAAGTTTGGGGTCAGTAAGTAAGTAATGGCGGCTGAAAATTCAACTTTGTCATCACTCATCACAGGTATTTTTTAAATTAGTAAGGGTAGTGTATATTTCATTACACTTACAGTGACAAATGTGGCAAAATTGTCCAAATAACTCTGCATATGGGCCATGTTATATGGATATGAATTAAAGTGTTTTGTCTTTGGAGCAGCTGGATGTCATTGATGGTGAACAGTCCAGAGGGACACTGGCCACCCCCTCCTCCAGCCAGCCCTCCATGTGCCTGCTATCGCCACCTCAGGAGCACTCGGGCCGTGAAACCCCCGTCAGTGTGGATTCCATCCCTCTGGAGTGGGACCACACCGGGGACGTTGGCAGCTCTTCTTCACATGATGAGGAAGAGGATGCTGCTGCCTTCTCTGCCCTGTCAGGTAAATAAGTATGGAAGTGTTTTGATTGCTCAAGCTGTGCAGTGTACTGCAGATGATGACGCTGGTTCTCAGCAGTCTTAAAGTGTGGTCACATTTATTGTTGTTCAGCGAAATTTCAGTAGGAATCCATGTTTGGGAATTTTGTGTGAAGATTTCCTCACCCAGATTTCGCAATGGGTTCGCAATGGGTTCAAGTCGGTCACATTCAAAAGACTGGTTGACCAAAAGAAAGCTGTTTGGTTTGAAAGTAACTTCTGTGTGAGCTGTACTTCATGCATCACTACGCTGTTAACAGCAGACAATGGCCCTTCTTATCCGAAAAATTTCACTGAAATTTCGCTAATGTGAAAACACCTTTTTGTAACCAGACTTTATTGAGCAAGGTGTTCAAGCCATGAATCGCCAATTTCAACAAAAAAAAAGCTGTCTGATTTTTTCCTGGTAACCACGATTTTTTTTTTTTCATGTGCCTAAATCTGGAGTCCGATAAAATTGAAATATATTTTTCATTATCAGATTGCAACTGACAATTTTTACAAGCTCTAGCCAGTGTTATGTCCATTGGCACGTCGTCTGTGGCTGAGACTTTTTCCAGAACTCTGAATGCTGGAATGGGTTGTCATACTGCTGATTTAGCCATTAATTTTCTCTCCCTCCAGAGGTCACAGAAATCCCAGAATTCACATCTGAGGTGACAAAGAAGTCTTTGGGAGAGCCTTTAGGTAGGCCTCCATGTCCCTTTACGTGCACTTGGCTTCAGTTTTGCATGACTGCAAAATTTTATTACCTTTTTTTGGTGCATCCACATCTGTACAGTCCCACACCTCCCCGCTACTCCTTACTCTTTCCACATTATTCTCTCTCTCTCTCTCCATCCTGTCCTGTTCCCACATCACTATCGATACGCTTATGAATAGACTGGGTTTGCTGGATCATCAAAGGACTGGTATTTTTCCTTTCAGTGCAGAACTTTCTCTCTTAAATCAAAAGATGCAAGCATCCTCCCTTCACCCTGTCCTGCTATGTGCTCTTATCATGAAAGACTTGGGCCTGTGGGGAGATTCTGTTTGTAAAGAGGAGGGTTGAGAGCCGGCGTGTCCAGATCTCAGGGAGTATAAGAGAGGGCACAGGAAGGTTGCGTCCCTTCCTCTCACACGGCTCAGTGCACCTGCTCATCCTCCTCCAGAGCTTTCATGCTCATGCAAAAGATAATAACATTCATTTATCTAAACCTCACACTCTTGAAACTTTGCTCAGTACTGGAGAAGCACACATGACATGTTTGATGCTTTTGTTTTTAAAGGGATCTTTTTTTTCCTGAAATCCACTCATAATTGTTTTTATGCCAATAACATTAGTATTTTATATTTTCATGACCATTTTTGATACTCTCTCTTATCCTTAGAATTAAATGGCCTGGTTTTGCCCCTCTGCCTTTAAAAACAGCATGTGAAATGAGTATCACAGCTTTGGTCCACTAAGGCACAGGCTGTCTATTTACTGTTGGATTAAATATAGTTCCAACTTCCTTATCCTACAATAACATACTTTATCAATTTAAAGTCTGCATTAAAAAGTAATATTAACTTCAATAAAAATTATTCATTTAAATGTTGGCGTTATATCTTTCACTTGGATGTTACAAGTTGCACTGAGTAAATGCAGCTGGATAAAACAAAAACTGTGTCCATCTTCATTTCAGGCTGCAAAGCAACAAAATGTGATTATTTTAAAAGGGGTGGTTCTTTTCTATACCCACTGTATATGTTTTTCATAGTACATAAATCTCTATTACTTCAAAAGATCAAGAAAAAATTGATTCTTCGTGAGCCATGCAACTAAATAATTCCACTTCTTGTATCCATTTCTGTCGTCACAGTCCAAATAAAGTAGCCTGTTTTGAGCACTGAGTTAAATCTCTCTCTCCCTCTCTCACACACTCACAGGACAGAATTGGCACTTTCAAAACACACCTGAAGGGAAATCCTTCCAGCTGGACTCCTCCTCACCTACACACACCAGCACTCCTTTTAAACAAGACTACGTGAGTATATACCCCTTCCTTCTTAATCCAGCTCTTACATAAACACCAAATTTGCATGTTGTCTTATTCAGTGCATGTGTAGTTCCTGTATTAAGAGTGACTGTAATGATGCGTGTATGATGTGTCTTTCCAATGTACAGGTCCAGCTGATGTCTGAGTGCAGCGGCAGCATTAAGAGTGTGAAGAAGGTTTCTATGATCCTGGATGATGAGGAACAGCAGGAGGAACAAGGCCTCACTGGCCTCAACACTGCAGACAAACAGTCAGGTACTGACACTTTGTCCAACACAGAGGAGCATGAGGATGTCTGTCTGGTACTCATCCCGAGTGGGTCACGTAAAAAAAAAGTCTTCACAAATGGTCGGGTACATGCACTGACCCAGATCACATGTGCAAGGGACTATTTGTCAATTTATTTAGACGAGTCTAAAAGCATAAGGCTATTTATTTATCAATAATAGCACATAATTACATTTTCATGCCACCTGATGGATGGATGGATGGATAGATAGTTGGTAGATGGATGAATGGATTGGTGGATAAACAGAAGGATGGTCATATGATGTATAGATACGGAGGATTGGTTGGATAGATGGAATGATGAATCAGTGGATTGATGGATAAACTGATGGATGGATAAATAGTTAGATGTAATAGGTGGTTAGATGGGTGGATAGGTGGATAAACTGATGGAGTAATTGATAGATAGTTGAATAGACTTAAAGGAATGGAAGGATTGGTGGATAAATGGATGGATGAATATGAGGATTGAAAATTAAATGGGTGGGTAGGCATGAAGAGATGGATGGATGGATTAAAATGTGGAAAAACAAATGGATGGATGGATATGGGTAGATGTTTGCATAGACGAATAGAGGAATGGTGGGTAGATAGATCTATAGACAAAAGGGTGAATGGTTGAATCAGTGGATAAGCATATGGAATGATAGGTAAATAGATGAGATGAGTAGATAAGTGTTTAAACAAATGAAAGGATTGATGGATGGATTGATGGTTGGGTGGATGGATGGATAGGTGGCTAAATGGAAGGATCGATAGCTGGATAGATTGTTAAATGGAAGGGCAGTTCAGTCGATAGGTGGAAAGATAGTTGCGTAGATGGATGAGTGGATAGGTGGACAAATAAATGTATGAATGCATTGATGATAGATAGTTGGATAGACAAATGGAGGAATGGATGAATAGGTAGATGGACGGATGGATACATAGTTCGAAAATTAGTAGATTTGGTTAGATGAATGAAGGACTGGATTGGTGGATAGACAGGATAAAAATGGATGGATGTGCATGTAGAATTTTTGTATTATTTATTCACTTTATGAACTTGTCCTTTGTTCTCCGCAGGAGTGATTGAGCGCTGGGAGCTGCTGCAGGCTCAAGCAGTGAGTAAAGAGCAGTGCAGCACCAGAGACCCCCAGCAGCTGACCTCTGACCTGCATGACATCACTTCCTGGCTGGATCATGTCACCCCTGAGCTGGACAGACTGCAGAAGCCTGAGACATCCGTCAGTGTCGAGATCTTAGAAGAGAGGGTCAAACAACTTAAAGTAAGCATCAGTTGTAGTTCTAGAATGCATCTAATCTTTTAGATTATTAATACAGAGACACTAGAAAGGGAAATAAATGTTTTCATACTTTGTTCCACATTACACAGGAAATGCAGAAGACATTTGCTCGCTATAAGACCATGATGCTGTCTCTGAACCTGGGTGGGCGAGAGCTGCAGCAGGGGGCTACAGGAGGAGCACCTGAGCTTCAGGAGGGTCTGCGCAGCATGAATCGCCGCTGGACAGAGGCTTGTGCGGGACTAGAGAGATGGGAGGACAGTCTGCGCACCACCCTAGGACACTGTCAGGTGAGAGATCTGTCAAACATTTATACAAAACCTTAATGGAAAGATTGAAGCTATTGGGATTGATGCCACATGAAACTTCATCTCTCACTACTGAACATCTGCCCTCCTGTAGGAGTTCCACGAGATGGTCCACTCTCAACTGCTATGGCTGGCCCATGCAGAGAGCAGACGCTACACAGTGAACCTGAATGACCCTTCTGTGCAGCCCTCCATGCTTCAGGAACACAGGAACACGCTGAAGGTGAGCCAGAGAAACCCAAACCAGAACAACATCAGCTTCTCCAAGACTGTTCGTGGAGAACTCCTCTAGTTTGTCTGGTTATTTGTGTAGTGAGCTTATGTTTTGCACCTCCTGTTGGCAGGATCTGGCAGAGGAGCTGCAGGGCAGGCAGAAGCAAGTGAGCTCCCTGCAGGCGATCGTCTCCGAGCTGCTTCCTGAGGCTGGTGGGGAGGACAGTGCTGAAGCTAGGGAAAAACTCCATGTTATTGGAAGCAAACTACGACTACTGTCACGTCAAGTCGACCAGGATCACCAGACGATTCAGGAGAGATTAGTAAGCGTGAAAACTTAGTCATTTACACTAGTCATTTTTATACATTTAAAAAAATGCTTTACAGTACCACTTTATGAGCATATTTTGCGGAAAAAATGCTCTGTTCATGGAAATCCCCAGCTGGTTTCTATGGGACGTTCTGCAGACTTCGTTGATCCTTGTGGAGTCTAGAATATCACAACTTTTCATTTTCCGTCGGTCATAGTACACGATGTAACTACAGAAGAGTCAAGTTTTAATAGGAAAAATATAGAAACTCTTTGGTCATTTTTGAGCGAGATGCTAACGGTCTAATCAGATTCAATTCGATCTGTGCTAAGCTACAGCTAAAAGTGCTACCGCCAGACCCGGAGATCGGCTGAATGGATTCGAAAACAGTAAAACTCAACTGTTTAACTCTAGGGGAGTTGGAAAATGAGCCTATTTTCAAAAATAGTGGAGTGTTCCTTTAATCTATTTTGAACTTTCTATTCATCAAAGAATCCTGATAAATCACAAAGGCTTCCACAACAATATTAAGCAGCAACTGTTTTCAACATTGATACTAATAAGAAATGTTTCTTCAGCAGCGAATCAGCATATTAGAATGATTTTTGAAGGATCATGTGACTGAAGACTGGAATAATGGCTGTTACAATATATTAAAATTAATTAAAAATGTACATTTATATTAAAATAGAAAAGGTATTTTAGATTGTAATATTTCACAATTAATTTTACAACTACAATTTTTCAATTACTTTTATGCTTATCAAGACCTTTAAATAATCAAGAGACTTCTTTCAAAAATATATAAAAAAAAATTAAGAGTACAAACCTTTGAATGGTAGTGTGCATTAAAATAATTTAGTCTGAGAGTTTTTTGCCACACCATGTCAACAAATAAATATAATTAACTAAGATAAGGCAGTTTTTACTACAAACAATATTGAAATTAAAAGTATACTACATGCTCATAATTTAGAGCAATATGATCTGGTTGAGTAGTTTTGATTTGTGGCGAGGTGCTGAAATTGTCTGTCATGTGTTTGCAGGAGTCCACGACTGATGCTTCGGGAGACAGGAAATCCACACAATGCTCTCGGTACAGTGTGACACACATAAACCATTTTAATTTGTTCCTTTTTCATGAAGATTTAAATAGTATAGAATATTGTAAAAATATATGCTATACAAGCAAAAATGCATATACAGTGTTATATATAGACATTTCTGTTTTAAAGAAGATAAGATTAGATAAAAAGATCAGCAGTAAAACTTTCTGTTTCAGGCCAAAGCGTGACCCATCACCTCAGCGTTCGTTCTTCTATCGGGTCCTGCGAGCGGCTTTCCCTCTGCATCTCCTGTTCCTCCTGCTGTTGGTTCTGGCCTGCTTGGTGCCTCTTTCTGAAGACGATTACAGCTGCACCTTTTCCAACAATTTTGCCCGCTCTTTCCACCCCATGTTACACTACACCAACGGTCCTCCCCCCACATGAGTCTCTCAGCACCTCACTTTTGTCCAACCAATATTTGAATGGTTGTATTGATGTTTTACTATTTATTCCCCTTTGAGAGCCATACTACTGAGAATTTTGTTGTTAATGTTACAGTTGGATGTGATCAAAAAAATGTCCCTTTTTTGTCACAATGCAGTAAAGAAAAACGTCAATCATTGTATGAGCTTGAATGTAAATCACTGATAATTTTTTTTTATTTTTCTAGATTTAAGCACATCACGCACTGATTAAAAATTAAGAGTTAAGAGTTTGCTATTTAGGGATTATGTGGCCTCATTTTTAAATTTTATATGGTCTGAATTAACTGTTCATATTTGCGAAGCCCAAAACAGAAATATATTTAAAAATGTCAAATGCACATGAACACAGTTTAATACAGCCCTGTGTAAATAGCACACTGTTACATATGCACTGCAAGGTAGAACATAAAGACGTGTACAGAAAGTACATTTTGAAAACATTTTACAAACATTTGTTCTGTGTTAAAAAATAAACCTTGTCTACAACAAATCTGTATTACAGCTGGTCTTAAATGCTTAGTTGCCAAAAATTGTAAAATCAATATTAGTGCTTCATATCAAAACAATTAAAATTCAGATGGCTGCCAGCAGACAACATATACATTTATTTTGTGTGTTTATTAAAAGTAAGTACTTGTAACATCTATCTTTATGATTCTAATCTTTAAGGTAGGAATAAATCAATTTTCTCCTTACCTAGATACTTTCTCTTATTACTGTCATCTTAAACCAAACTGTATAGGCTATAATCATTGTAGTCACTGCAATATTTTCAGTTTTCTTGATTCTGAAAACAGGGCTTTAGATATTTCAGAGAACTCTTAAAGTGCAATTTCACAAGTACATTTTTGGTGGTTGTGGTGCATCTTACCAACAGAAAGGATTTCACAGTGGAATAGTAGCAATAAATTGAGCTGTCCCTAGAAAATGTTCAAATGTTTTGTACAAGCCCTTTATGGTGTTAAAGGGCAGAGAGCAGGACGAAAGAAAGCAGTTTGTTTTGATGTTTTGCTCCATAATCTGTTTTGTCAAAAGTAATAGATGCAAACAAAACATCCAGCTGCCCTGAATTACTGCGGTGTGACATTCACAAGTCCTTGTTCTGACAGAATCAAATAAAATAAGGCTTGATTCAGTTCTTCTGAGCCTTTGGACCAGAATTTAGTCTTTGCTCACATTGCATACAAATCTCTCTCTTTAGCAATGACTGTCCTTACTGTCATTTTGCAAGTGATGGAATCTGATCTGTTTGTTCCGACAGTGTTGATGAGGGCATCGGTGTGATGCTGTTGTTTTCTTTTACAAAAAGCGCGAGTTGCAAATGTACTGTTTAGAAAGAAAATGGAAAAGTAGAAACTGTACATTTCATTGTGGTGCAGATTTCATGGGAATGGGTGCGCGAGGCCACACTGTCAGATATCTCACTGCAAGTTGCATTTCAAAAAAGCTTTTGAAATCCAAACAAATAGTAATCGATTTTCAAACCTCCAGCAATTGTTAAGGTTTTGTAAAAAATTAAATTTCCCTTTTTTTGTGGTTTAGGCTACATAAAACCAAAAAACTGTGTTCAGAACGAGTTCTGTGAAACCAAACAAAAAAAGAGGATTTCACAACAAATGCCAAAATCTGATGTTTTTCATCTTGAGAAATCCTATTCCACTCTTTTTGTGTGGCTACTTTTGTTGTCCATTCTCCCGAAACTATAGATCATTCTTCAGTGCTGGCGAGAAAGAAGAACAATTTAACATTTTTTTTCAGCTTGTACAGTTATTTTAAGATTTATGGAAGAATTTTTAGCTGGCAACATCCTGTGAAATGAATGTACTAAATATTTTATAAAACAGCCATTTCCATCAGTAAAAATATTTTTTATGTCAACGCCACAACACCTGCATTATGAGAGAAACTACTCTTGCTATGTCTCACCAGAAATGGTTTAGGGTCCTAAGGTCCCGCCGTGCTGAGAAGTGCAGGCGAAGGCCTCCTGGACGCCTTTGCTCTCTTTGGGAGCAGGAGCCGCTTGAGGGCCGGAGTGAGACACACGTGAGCTGTGCATGATATGAGCATCCAGCATCTCCAGAAGCAGGTCATACAGAGGAACCATCTTCTTCATCTTCATGCAGTGGAGGTGGTCCATGCCTTTGTTGCTAGAGATGGTGGATATTCAGTCAGTGGAAGGTTTTTTAATACAAGCTATCCTTTTGGAAAACTCATTTAAAGTGGTTCAATACTTTCAAGCTAACTTTTTGCAAAAAGTAGTTAGATACAATACAGGTTTTTTAAAGCAGTTTAATACAGTAAGCTAACCCTTTGGCTACAATATTAGCTCAACACTACACTCAAGCTAACCTTTTGAAGAATACAGTTGGCTTGTAGTTCGAGCTAAGTTTTTGACGAAAAAAACAACAACACTCACTAGTTATCGACAATAAGCTACATATTTAGCTAAACGTTTGAAAAAAAGTAGTTATGAAAACAAGCTACTAACAAAAAGTAGCAGATTAAAGCTAAAGGAACAATGTATTTTAAAATGTATACGTTTATCTTTATAAGTTCATAAGTTTATGTTCTCTTTAAAAATGTATTAATATAACATTAATTTAATTGTATTTAATTTTATTATTGTATCAGTAATATATAATTATATTTTAAATATTTCAAAATATTTCTGCACAAATTAGTATTATAAATATTATTAAAAGCATATACTGGATTGGTATTTGAATTGGTGAACTGGTTAAAAAAAAAAAGAGACGATACACGACTACATAAATCAGCATCTGTGCCCCATTGCCAATTGCTGGACAAATTAGCAACTGGAAAAGCTACACTGAAAACTGCTATTTTGTAAGCAGCAACCCAAAAACTGAAAAACCACCCCTGTAGATACTGTACATACAATGTTTTAATTACAGGAAACAAAATTGCTTGATGATCATCATCATTACAAAAAAGGTTAGTAGCAGACTAGGTGTCCAAATGAACTGTAATTGTAATTGGAGTATAATTAGCCACTGCAGTTTCTATGATTTTTGCATCCATAATTCTTGAGCAAAGAAAGAAAGAAGTTTTGCAGTCTTCAGGTAAATTACTGTGTATGAAGCACAAGCCACCTTTTTTGAGTCCTGTGCAGTCAAGGTGTGTCAAAAGTTCCTCGTTCAAGGTTTTTATTGTCTGTACCTGATGTGCCTTATGTGCGAGAGCAGCATGAGCAGATGGGCTAGTCTGGTGGAGCGCTGCTGGAAGCTCAGGCCCGTCTTCGAGATGGCCCAAACCAGAGCATCCGTCACCGAGTCCAGCAGACACAGCAGCTTCGACCGGCTCTGCAGCTCCTCTCCTCCCTCCGCCGAACTCAGGCACATGTCTGCAATGACGCACGAGTGCAGGTTTGCAGCGATTAAAGCCGCGAGACGCTGACATTTACAGCCGTTTGAAATAATAGAGGGTGATACCCAAATAAGCACCCAATTCAAAGAATATCCCATTCAAAAGCAACACAACACATCTGAAGCAATCAAATAAGTTATACCGAGGGGACAAAGTGAAGACAGCTGTTGGGGGCTGAGAATGAAGAGATAATGCATGAGGAAAAGTTGTTTTCCAAGAAATACTGGTTCCTTCAGACATTGAACACTTGGCAGGTACTGCCTGTTACTTGCATAAGTGTGTGCTATGAAATGGATACTTGGAGCAAAGGCATGTTGTCCCCATTAAGACTTTACAGTGCGTGAGCATTTTTCTTGCCTGGCCTTGCCAACACTCCCTTCAATTAAAGCGAGGATAGTAGTAACCCTCTGAGTTATGGGCCTGGAGCGAACACTATTTATTATGGCTTTGTGGAGGTCAGCAATTTGTTTGGACTTTTGATGACAGAGACAGTAAGAGGACAGGAAATTTTATTGTATTTATTTATTTATTTAGTAATTTATCAGACGCTTTTATCCAAAGCGACTTACAAATGAGGACAACAGAAGCAATCAATCAAGAAATGAAGGGGAATATGATCACTGCATGACACCAGCTGGAATCGAACCCACTTCTCCCGTGTGAGAATCACTCATATATGTCTGGAGCACAAGCACTAGGCCACAGAACACATTTATGATCAACAGAGCCAAAAGACTACTCCGAGTATGTTTATGGATGTTCACTATACTGGATCTTTTTTTTTTTACTTTACAATCGAGTGCTAGAGACAGACTGTATACATTTGCTGACTTATTTAATTTAGCTTGCAGTTTGTGCTAAAACATGAAACCATTTATTAAAGTATAGAACGATGAAAAGATTCAAAATGTTGTCAGATTTAGCAATAAATCTTTTATGCTTCCCAATTTTTTTCAAAATGTTATTCTGCATATTGTAGTAAATTTTACTATACTTGCCATTGTTAACTGATTATTTAAAAATACAAATAAAAATACAATACTGCTCAAAAGTTTTGGGTCAGTATGTTTTTCTTGTTTTTGTATGAATACTTTTATTCAGCAAGGACTCATTAAATTAGTCAAATTTTATAATGTAACAAAAGTTTCTTTTTTTCAAATAAATACTGTTCTTTTAAACGTTCTATTCATCAAAGAATCCTGAAAAATGTTTCCACAAAAATGTTCAGTACAACTGTTTTCAACATTGAAAATAATTATAAATGTTTCTTGATCAGCAAATCAGCATATTAGAATGATTTCTGAAGGATCATGTGACACTGAAGACTGTAAAAACATTTTTAGAAAATACTTCATGATAAAATAGTTCTTTATGAATTAACATTGAATGTTAAGATGAAATATTAATGAATCCTGAAATTTTCAATTTACTGGCTGCAGTCTGGCATCATGGGTCATGTGAGTCAAAAAATAAATAAATGAAAAAAGACCATGTGTGTACATTTAAACAACAGAGCTTGATATCATATATCACAATAGAACATCTTCAATGAGAAAAGTTTGATTTCATATATTTTTCTAAAGTTCAAAAAGAAGATTTTTTTGAGAATTTTTCAGAATGTGTTGTGAATGCATTCTATTTAATCAACTGCGATATTAGACTGAGATCCACTGTTTGTCTATCCTACAGGGAAGGTCAACAAAACATACACATTCATTTTTTTCTAATAAAAATAAATTTGTTTTAGTAAGACTAAGAAGTGGTAAAAATGCTTTCACGTTTCATAAAACTTTTAATGAGAAGAACACTCACTGGAGTTGAGAAGGATCATGGCTTTGAGACAAGCATACTCCTCTCTCTGTAACTTCAGTTCTCTGAACCTGGACGTGGCTGCCAGCAGCATATCAAAGATCTCCACAAACCCCTGCACACAGCTGCCTTCATCCCTGACAAACACAAAGACATCAGCAGTCTCGCAAATTAGCATCACACCATCAGAAACCCAGGACCGGGCCTCAATCTCAGACCTCAGTAGTCCTATTCCAAACTTGGCACCTACTGAAAGTACGAATGGCGAAGTCTGTTCAAAGCATCAATGGAAAATCAGAGTACTAGTGCTCTCTGAGACGCTGAGAGGTGCTGCAATTGGGTCTGCAGCAGTGAATGAGACTGGGAACGGCTCTAACACTTCATTAAAACTTGTGAGAACAGAGAGAACAGGCATGCACTATTTTTTTGGCACTTTTTTGATGCTGACAAGCAGTTTACCAAGTTAAACTCAGGGATCCAGTTGGCTATAATACAATGAATTCCTTTTCCAAAACGCAGCCCATGAAAATACAGTAAATGTCTGGCAGCATATCAAATGGTAAGCATATTTACAGCTCACCCTTGACTGTTTGGAAGTGTAGTCCAGTATAAATTCTGCGGAGCATCTGTAACACTGGCCCAATTTTTTTTCTCACATTACAACATTGGTACACACCATGTTAGTGGGTACAAAGGGCAGTAGAGCAGAGGGGGGTGATAATACACAAGCCATAGCTGAATCAGTTCCTGTCTTCCCGCAGCTCTCTAATTCGCACCACACAGAGCCTCACGCTCACTCTGACACATCTGGCCAAACCACTGATTTTGTTTCACAGCAATATTCTTCAGATATTTTGCTATATTCTGCGCAAACACAACTGGTATGAATACACAGTTCTTTATACTAAGCTTCTGCAGTGTGAGAAGACGCACGTTACAATTTATATTACATTTTACATTTCTAGTGAAAACACAGGTGCCAAGTTATTAGAAACATACTGTTTTAATGTTGATTTCGAAAGGATTTAATAGATTTGTACATTTTCAAGATAATTTTAAATGTAATGAATATTAATAAGCAAATGTCTTGTGGTGTTAATAGTTTATTTTGTTTACAACATATTTTGTTTACAAGGTATTAGCAAAAGTATTTTACTGTATTTTTAAGTAGTACTACTAGTAGTAGTAGTAGTAATAATAACGCTAAAAAAAGCGTCAGCATTTTTTTTAATGAGACCTTTTTCTTCATTTTGATACAACAGTTGCATCACCCTGACTAATTTAATTTTATGTCCTCCCCAAAAATATAACATTGTTATTTAATTCAGGAATTAAAACATGCTCATCACAGAATAGATGCATTCAGGACACTGTATGTATGAACTGCATTTTTGGGGGATAAATGCACTGAAGAAATGTATAAATCCAGACAAAATGAGTGTCGTGTCATGTTATTGACTGAATATATTTAGGTTGGCACTGCTAACTTTACACTCTCAAGTGACCAGAGGGTTAACTAGAGTCTTTACATCAGAATGTCATCAACATGTAATCAGTGACTTAAATCCCCTATATCTTATACCATACTGGCACATAAAAATACTGACCATCTAAAGCATTTGACAATAAAAAAAACATTCAAAGCACAGATAGATGGATGTGCCTGTTCATAAATTAGGCAATGGGAAGGATAAACGCAATTAAATGACACTAGTTACCTGCTGAGACTGAGGTCTGGGGAGAAAATGAGCTTTCCAGGATGATTAACAGACCGCCACATCAGTCCCAGCATCAGCACCTCTAACCAGCAGCACTCCAGCAAATGGACCTGGTCAAAAAGACTGATCTCCACAAAACCTGCAGGGAGAAATAAGCACTTACTAACAATTGCATACACATCCAACAACAGTTTCATGCAATCCATAGCATTCAAACCCAATCAATAGTTTGCAGGTAATCACAATTAGTACAGTAGTTAATTTCAGCAGGCAGCGCTTCACTGAATGAAACTGAATGAGATAAGGCTTGTGTCGCCACACAAGAAGCTCATCCCTGGGGATCAAAGAAGGGTCTGAGGGATGGTTTGCTGATGTTCTCAGAATAAACAAACTGCTCATGTTCAGAATCTGAACAGGGTGATTCACTAATGAAGACTCTGCCCATCTCAAAAGCCAAGAATGAATTAAAATGATAAATCAGACAAGAAAACAGGAAACATCAAATACATTTGTAAAAAGATTAAAGGTAGGGTAGGCGACTTTAGAGAGGCTAGCAATGGCAATCTAGTTTTGAAAGCATAAGATCCCACCCTCCCTGCAAATCACTCTCCTAAGCCACGCCTCCACCAAAACACACAGGCAGACCAGAGGCTAACCAGCGACACAATGAGAGACAGTGTTGGTGGAGGGTTGAATGCAACACTGGTGCATATTTCAATAATAATGCCTTCCATTCTCGCTTATTCTGCAATAGCGTAATGGAACACGCTTTACTGTTGCACTCTGACCAAGGGATATGATTGGAAGAAAATTTGATGGTCCTATGCCTTCCACAGACATAACAAAAGACCAACATAACAAAAAATGTTTTTGAACCAAATCACTTACCCTGCCTTTAAGGGAAAAGACTTCTTATGGTTCCTTCATTGCAGATTTAAGGCTGATAAATGATAAATCATTTGCCTGTGAATCACTAATAGATTTGATATATACCATATATGTATCTATAAATCTATTAGAAAACCCTAAGGGACATGTTGAATGAAAAAAAAAATGGTAAAATGGTATTTCAAAGCTTTCGAGTTCGCTCGCAAAACTTTTGCATTTCTCAGGAAACTCTTCTGTTTTCTTGCAAAAGTATTGCTTTGTCTTTTTTCCAACTTTGTGCTAGCTTGCAAAATCACTGAAATATAGTTTTTCCTCCTACATTTTTTAAATCACAAATTTTGCGAGGGAGGAGCTTTAAAATATAATTTTTCCTCAATCACTTTTTTTTTTCCATATCACAATGTACCTGTAGGGCAGGGGTGTCCAAACTCGGTCCCGGAGGGCCGGTGTCCTGCAGAGTTTAGCTCCAACCACCACATTAAACACACCTGAACCAGCTAATTAAGGTCTTACTACGCATACTAGAAACTTCCAGACAGGTGTGTTGAGAGCTAAACTCTCTCCAGGACCGAGTTTGGAGACCCCTGCTGTAGGGGCTCTGTATTAAACACACTGACGCATTACACATCAAGTTTAATGTTAAATCGCTTCCAACCAGAAAATTGATTTAATCCATCCGCTACAAAAATGCTTCTTCAAAGTTCAATATTAAAGATATTTTGCAGTCCAAAACTATGAAAAGAATGAGCATTTTTGAGTATTTTTTTTAAGATAAGTGAGTTTTGATTTATGAAATCAATAACATCTGTGGTTAACATCACTTGAGGATACGTTTGGTTCAATAACATGAAATACATACAGTGGTCAAATTGAATCTGAAACCGTGTGCTTTAAAAACATTTATTAATCTTAACAAATAAAATAATTACTTACCCACACAGTCATACCATGTTCAGATTGCTATACGGAACAAACATTTGAGTTTACGTGCTTGAGGAATGAAGTGAAATTCAACTGTTGAACACCTCATGCAACAACTTGTTAGCAACATTTTTAAAGCACAAATCAACTGTAAAATTAGTTTGAACATGTTATGATGTAATAATTGTAATTTACAATATCCTAAATTCAGAAGATGACAGATTCTCCTCAAGTAATGTTAACCATATTCCTTGCTGTACTCATAAATGGAAAAATGCTACTCTAAAAACCCATTCGAAATTCCAGTGAATCCACAGTGAATCAGCTTTGCGGGTTTGGTCTACAAACTGATACTGACCGACAGGCTCTTTTCCATGTGGATTTGCAGTTAGGCAGATTTGTGTTATTGGAAGTGTTCTATAAACTAACAGAAATCTATTAACACACTTTGCTAGTGTTATAACTGAATAGTTTTTTCCTATGAATCTGGTTATACATTCACCTGGGATCTTCTTGGCCCAGCTGATCATGTGAACAAGCTCTTTGTCAGCCAGGTTGGTCAGTGACATCATGACATTGGCCTCAGTGAGCGGCTTCTTCACATCTTTCATGAGATGAATCTCGGGTGGCTCTGCATCCATGATTCGAGCGATTAGCTCCTCAGGGCTCAACGCCATGGTAACCACCTTATTTCCACTGAGGGGATGTTGGACACTTTTGATTTCTTGAGATCTTGGGCCACTTGTTCTCATCCTGCCAGAGCATCGTGCCAGTCGCTTCTGCTGTGCTCCTCTTTGTTGGTAGCTGCCACGATCTCTCCGTAACCCTGTGAAAAACGTCATGTAAATTGCACAATTCACTTCAACCTCATCTATGCTGGTTTAAAGGTTTATACTGGAATACGGACTAAATATACAAGCAATAGTCCATTCAATAGCAGCTGATATAAAGGTGAAGTGTGTCATTTTTTTTTTACATTCTTTCTACAATCTACTATGCAGAGTCAACAGTAAGTCATTAATTCGTAAGTTAACCCAAAGTGTAAACTGCTGCAAAACATTGCTTGTTTGTTTGGGCATCCTGACCAGCACAGCAACATTTGGTGCAACCAATGGCGTGAATGTAGGCAAGACTGTGTGTTTGTCTGACCAATGGTAGACAGAGGGAGTTGTTCATGAACATTCATCACCTTTGCATATATGTTTGGTGCCAATAGTGGTGCAGAAATGACACACTTTCCCTATAATCCCAGTTTTGGCTTAAACCAGTGGTTCTCAACCACGGGGCCTCAGCAAAATTCCAAGGGACGACTTAAAGGTATTTAAATTCATAAATTAATGTTAATATATTCAAATTAACATTATCAAAACCAAAATTTGTTTGAACAGAAGGCAAAGCCAAAAGCTGCAAAAACATATTACAAAATTGTGTATTTTATATGACATCTGATACATTCTAAAGAGCTCAAAACAACCACATCAGCCAATGAGATGAGAGTACATCACTTTCAAAGCTGTGAAATCAGACTGTCCTAAAAAACCGGATGAGGATAGACGGTAACAGTCTCCACAGCAACGCTTAATTCAACTAGCAGGAACAAGCCCTCCAAGATACTCACAAACAGCTCAAAAGACCACATGCAAGACCATCTGGTTCAAATATGTGTGAATTATTATTATGAGAAATCTTAAAACTTATGTATGATGAGATCAGTTCGGAGTAATTTATCTGGGTTGTTTTGGTGCAACTTTTGACCAACATCTATAAATAATCAGGGCTCCATCACATTATCATTACAATGGTGATGCATATCAAAACTTCACGGCATGATAGCTGTTTAATATTGGCACATAAATTCCAAAGTCTTTGGACAAAACTCAGCAGCAATCTCTGATGAAGTATTTGGTAACTGTGTGGGTGTAGAAAAGGTGTTGGTAGGGAGGAATGGAAAACGAAAGAGTCCCACCACATTTCATCATTCCAACTTCATAACATTTTCGGAGACGGCAGGCCTGGCAGCTTTTGCGGCGGTTCTTGTCGATGGTGCACTGGTTGGTGGCAGGGCAGATGTAGTCATTGTGTCCTGAGAAAATTAATCAGATGTTCCTTATTATCCACTGAGCAGTTGCTTAGAGCTTAACAAGCTGACAAATCTGTTACTATGTTCATGGACTGCAAAGCAGTGGCCAGAGCGGCCTTATAGAGACATTAAAATAGCACAGCATTGGTTGTCAGGGACAATGGAAAAATAGTAGTGTAGAATCATTATATAAAAATATTTGAGCACTGAATGCCATGACTGACCAATTAGAATCAATTATTCCAGAGTTAAATTAGCATTTCTGAAGGAAAATGTGGCTGCGAAGGCATCATTATACACTGTAAAGATGGCTGTTTATGGTTAATTACATGCAAGGGGGACAAGGCCGTTCACAATTCAGCACATATAAAAGTCCAATATAAAAGTCTAATCACAAATCAGTATGCAAATTTATGATGCCACCATCACACTCAGTTACATTTGAATGCTGGACATTCTATCAATGTGGGAGATTTCAACCTTTAATCTTAAATTTTAAAGTAGGGATGGAGAGTATACCAGTATTATTTACCAGAACAGTAAATTCTATTGTGTAGAAAATAAGCATGGTAATTTCCCCAATTTTTTTTGCATTTAGATTACCCTGTATGGATGCACTTGTGTAAGAAAAATATCCATATTTAAAACTTCATAAACCGTAATCTCTAGCTTCTCTATCTTCCTTTTTGGGTAAACTATCCCTTTAAAGGGTTAGTTCACCCAAAAATTAAAATTAGCCCATTATTTACTCACCCTCAAGCCATCCTAGGCGTATATGACTTCCTTCTTTCAGACGAATCCAATAGGGAGTTATATTACAAATTGTCTTTGATCTTCCAAGCTGTTTAATGGCACTCAGCGGGTGTTGCAGTTCATCAGTCCAAAAGAAGTTAAATAAAGCGCATGCATCCATAATAAAAAAGTGGCTCACACGGCTCCGGGGGGTGAACAAAGGCCTCCTGTAGCGAATCGATGCGTTTTTATAGGAAAAATATCCATATTCAAAACGTAATAATCAATTTAATATAGCTTGCGCTCACTGTTGTACACGGAAGCAGCTCCGGGCGGATGACGTAAGATGTCGGCGTTGCGCATGCGCCGGTGAGTCTCGTGAAAACCAACGTTTGTTAACAGGAGCAAAGGAAGCAAAGTTTCCTTACTTTAGCAAAGGAAAACCAGTCTCCTCTTGGCTTATATCGAAATCCTCCGACATTCTTCTTTACAAATCCTCGTTTTGTACTTCTAATTCGTGATTCACCCCCCGGAGCCATGTGAGGCACTTTTTATTATGGATGGATGAGCTTTATTTCACTTATTTTGGACTGATGCACTGCAACACCCGCTGTCTGCCATTAAACAGCTTGAAAGATCAAAGACCATTTTTAATATAACTCCGACTGGATTCGTATGAAAGAAGAAAGTCATATACACCTAGGATGACTTGAGGGTGAGTAATTT